GTCGGAGGGTGGCGAGAATGACAGATCCCAGCCACACGTTGCGCTTGGGATCAAACCCCTCCAGCAGGCGCCCCAACCGATCCTGGCTTGTCCGAGAATTCAGTGTCCGCAAGCTCTGACGCGACAGCCATGGGCCTTTGTCGATGAGAGAGCTTTACCACACTATGCCCCTAATTCGCTTACCGTGCAGGGCGGGATAAGCGACCCTGTTAAAGTGGCCAAAGTATTTTGGTGGCGGCTGGAAAAACAGCGTGCCACGGACTGGAGATGCTGAGCAGCTTGGTCCCGAACCGACTCATGGTGCGCTCCCCCAGGAGGGGGGGCAACGAAGAGGGAAGAAAAAGGAAGGAGAGGAAGAGCAGGGAAAGGAAGAAAAGGACGGCGGAGGCCCGCAAGGTCCATGTCGATCTTGACGAATCCATTCCTCTGATGTGAGCTGCGTTCCATTCTTGGTGTTTGCTCTTCCTGAGGGTGTCGCGCTTCAGACTTGCAGTGGAGATCTGGGGCAGCTCAGGTAAGTGCAAAACGAAAAGGCGGCCCGCAAACTTGGCAGGGAGTAGGTAACAGGAGGGGGAGGAGGAGGAGGGGCCAGAGTAAACCCAAGACGCGTCAACGATGATGCAACAAATCCTCCCTCCAGGTTCCTTCCTCATACCATATGTTCATTGCGGGGCGTGTCCCATTGGAAGACAACCGTCTGAGAATCCTCATTCGTTCGAAAACACAATCCCTGGGAATTCAACGCCGCGAATCAACTGCTGCGCCCTGACAATCCGAAATCGTGTCACGAAGCCATTGGAGGGATCTGGACACAGTGTTTTAGCGTGATTTTTTCGTCCAGGCAGTCCTCAAATGTGCCAGAACACCGTTCTTGGGGACATCTGATCATACGAATCCTTGGAGCTGCTGCAAACTGTGAAGATGATTGCGCGCGGCGCTGAGGCGAAAAACACATGTTGAAAAGGACGTGCCATCCATCCCTGAAGGTGCTGCAGACGTTCAGCTTCTGGATCACAGATTGTTAGGTTTAAGTCGGGCCTGTCCCTCTACAGGGGGAATATTCAAGAATAGTCAAAAAATAGTCCGAGGACTATTTTTTGAGTATTTTTTTAAACCATTTCGGAGTATTTTTGAGTATTTCTTATTTTTCGTCGAAAATCCCCCTGTGGGGGGACACGCCCGACTTCATGTTAGGTCTTATGCGAAACGCCCGTCTCGCCCTACCGACACGCCCGGGGGTTGCGACAGGGAGGAATTGTTCATAAGGAACAGGGACGGAGGAGGGGGATGGGGGAGGGAGGAGGAGGAGGAGCAGCAGGAGGAGGAGTAAGATCTGTAAGGTTTGTTGGCGTTCTCTGAGGTCTTGTCCAAGGTGATGGCCAAAGCTCGTGATGCAGGTTGGGAGCACATCAAGCTTTGCACTGTCGAGTCCCGCATTTCGCAGAATCAGGCTCTTGCGCAAGGGACGTATTTTGTATGTGTGGCTCGGTAGTAAGACGGCCGAAGACCTCGCGCGTGATGGAGCCCAGTTGCAGGAGCATCTGTGGCGCTTCGTAGCTGGCTCGACACGGCCAGCAAGGGGTCTCGCCCAGGCAGGGAACATCTCGGGTCTCATGCCGGGGCAGATGTCCCGCGGAGTGTTAAGGGACGTTGAGATCGGTGCAAGGCCAATGCCAAGCCCAACCCCGCCAGCTCGGAAATCCCTCAGCTCGAATCAGTTGCGAACCCCAGTGGGCACATCACATGTCGGGAAGGTGGAGCGTCTTATTGTTAGGTTTGTGATGGGCGGGCGATGTCTAGAGGGGCTATCGCCGCGTTCCCCTGCCCAGGGATCCCCAAGATCGCTGCTACGGCACATCGCTCCCGCGTGCTCTTCATGGGCTCTGGGGCCTCTGGGAGGGTTGTCCGGTGTCGCAGATGTGCGGCGTTTGGGGTTGCCCGATATCGTTTCTGGAAACATTTGTGCCTCGGCCATCATCGCAACGTTGTGTCAGAGAATTCGTTGTCGATGCTCCTCGCGGGCAAAGATCCCAGCTCGAGATCTGCACTCGGGTGCAGCATTCCAGTGCGAATCGGGACTCAGTGCTGGCACTCTCTTGTTGCTCGGTCTTTTGCTTCTCTGATGCGGGAGACGGTGGCTGCGTTATTACGCTGGCTCAACAGGAGGAGGAGAAGGAGGAGGAGGAGCAGCAGGAGGAAGAGGAGGACAAGGAGGAGGACAAGGAGGAGGAGGAGGAGGAGGAGGAGGAGGAGAAGGAGGAGAAGGAGGACAAAGAGGAGGACAAAGAAGAGGACAAGGAGGAGGACAAGGAGGAGAAGGAGGAGAAGGAGGAGGAGGAGGACGAGGAGGAGGAGGAGGAGGAGGAGGAGGAGGAGGAAGAGGAGGATCTCTCACAGCGCCGCCCGCCAGGGGATTCGAGGTGAAGCACTTGTTGTGGAACGGGGACGTCGACGAGGAGGCCGTGGCAGAGGCGACTGGACCGCTCCAGCTCTCCGGTGGCGCTCGGGGGGAGCCCCCACCTCTTCGATCCCCTTCCCTTTTCGTTACTTTCCTTCCTATTATTTCTCCTCCTCGTCCTCCTCCTCCCTCACTCCCCTCTCCTCCTCCCTCCTCCCTCCCTCCTCCTCCCTTGTCCTCCTCCCCTCCTCCCTCCTCTCCTCCCCCCTCCTCCTCCTCCTCCTCCTCCTCCTCCTCCTCCCCCTCCTCCTTCCGTAGCCACCTTGTTTCAAGCCGTTTTGGCTCAAAGTGCTTGTGTCCCTCGGGCAGAGAACGGACACATTTTATCGGAGGCCAGATCAGGAGAGTGTCAGTGAGCTCCTGCAGGAGGAACAACTTCAACAAGGTCTGCACCCGCATCAGTTCGCGCGGGTCAACTGAGGCATTTCCCGTTCTTGTACGGGCTCGTGCTTTCACTCAGACCATTGCAGCGACGGACAAGAAAGACAGAAAGGATAATAAACTGCGCAAGGGAAGGAGCAACGCCCACCCCCTTCGGCCTGCTCAGAAGGATGTGAAAAGGCGAGCCAGGAGATCCAGCCGCGAAGCAGGAAGTTCGGCCCCGAACATGGATGTTTTGTTCGCGGGGGCATGTTCTCGGAGCTCCAGGACGTCTTTCCAGTCGAACGAGGAAATGCCCCGGTTCAGCGAGGACATATTTTTGGCCGAGAGAGGAGTTTTTCTTTCGGGCTTAATCAACTCGGGGAAGTTCCGTTGCTCGCTGCGTTGTGATTTACGGCGCAGGGGATACATTTCGTGGTTCCGACTTCTTCTGTTTGCAGGTGCCGAAAATAGGATCAAGAAAATCATCACATAGGAAACGTGGGCCAGATTCCCAGACCTTTCTTAAGACAAACCTGGTCAAGATATTGTGTCAACGCTGGAGGAGCGAACGCGCTCAAGAAACTGAGCTAGCTTTCTGGTGAGATGGCTGAGAAACGCTGACCCAGCTTTCCGGGAGGAGGTTTCCGAATCGAATGCTGCATTGTATACGGGTTCCTCTGGGGGTCGGAGCGTGCTTTTTCATCGGATGTCGCCGCGCTGGGGCTTCCTGGGTTCTTCGCTGCATGAGGCGGCCTTCGGCTTCACTTGCCTTGTGCTGGAATGCTCCTCACGGCGTGCGGCTCCCTGGACCTCTTCGGCGGAGGTCCGCTAAAGGTTGGGAGGGCTGGTTCTATGCTCTCTGCCTTCTCACGTCTTGGTTGTTTGGTGCTCTCACGTGATGTTTTCTGTACGCAGGGTTGTTTTTGTTATCTGCTCGCATGTTCTCGAGTTGTCGTGACAGTGGCTGATTCGGTTTTTGGGGCGGTGAGAGGGGGAGGGTTTTCACTTTTGTTTTCGTCGCGCGTTCGTTCGCTGCAGGCGGCGCCTCATCGGGCTGTCTCAGAGGGCCCCCTTCGGTTTTATGGCATTTTCAGTGCGCTCTCTTCCACGATGTGTGTGTGTGTGTGTGTGTGTGTGTGTGTGTGTGTGTGTGTGTGTTGCGCGTGTGACAGTGTGTGTGTAGGTGTGTGTAGGTGTGTGTGTGTGTGTGTATGTTTGTGTGTGTGTGCGCGTGTGTGCGCGAGCGCGTGCGTGCGTGCGTGCGTGCGAGCGTGCGTGTGTGTGTGTGTGTGTGTGTGTGTGTGCGTGTGTGTGTGTGTGTGTGTGTGTGTGTGTGTGTGTGTGTGTGGCGGCTGAATTCGCCTAACGTTACCCCGTTTCGCTTTACTCGCCAGCGCAGCCCCTCTGCCCAGCCGCCGGCGTAAACAGTTTGTGTGTGTGTGTGTGTGTCAGGCGCGGCTCGCTGCGCCTGCCGCCTGCCTCTAAGTCGGTCCTTGGCCTCCTCATCGTCCACTTTGCCATCTCGTGCCCCCGCTTCCTGGTCCTGGTCCTAGTTGCACTGCTCGGGATCCAGTCTCGATCGCCTTCTCTAGGCCTACATGGTGGAGTCCTCGACCCATCAGTTGGGACGCTGGCAGTTTTCATCATCAGGTGTCTGCGCTGGGGAAAAGTTGGCTGCAGTCACCCTCCCTCACCGTAGCTCGTCTACCCACCGTTCCCCCCGCCATCCACGCCCGCATGGCTATGGCGGCCGATTGCTGCGTGGCCCCAAGTGCTCACTGAGGGCTCGGGCGGTTAGTCGCGCACTTTCGCTGTTTTCGACCTTCTACGCCTCAACGCTGCGCGCGAGGCCACGACCCCCCCCCCCAAAATGTGTCAGGCGGGGTTGCGGCGTGAACTGCTTGATGGTGGTTGTCTTAGATATAGAAGCCGCTGGAGATCACGGGCGGGTGCATCTTGCTTGAGCTTTCCAAAGTCGGGGGCCAGCTTGCTTCAGTTTGTGTTGGAAGTCGCTTATGCGCACGCGTGGCCGTTTCGCGGGCAAGTTTCGCAAAAGTGAGGTTCGTGATGTGTGCGGATCCTTTGGTGGATCTTCGCAGCCTCGGGGAGGATGTATGGAGTGACTGGTGGGGGGAGAGAGGGGCGAGGAGGAGGAGGGAGTGGAAGGGGGGAGGGGGGA